GCCCGGGGGGGGGGGAGTTCTTAAAGACTGGTTTAGTTCACATATCTCATCCAAACCGCCCACAAACCCTGAACAACGTGGATCACAATGGAATGCGGCAACGACAGCGTTTCATTATCGATTCACCATGCTAATGCTTCTCAAGACCGAGTTTCATTTTATTTTTGTTTGTCGTTTGCCTCGATTGCCCAAGGTATTTCGCAATAAAAGGTACCGTGATCCCCGCACTGACTTCTGCTTTTTGGTTAAGGCTGCTGTTGCTAATTAAAAATTAACTCCTGGCGATTCGCCAATAATTGGACTTGGTTATAGTCTTGTAGCTCAGATGAAACAAAGATGCTTCTTCCCCGGCACTCACATGTCAATAGTAGGTCTTGCTATGCAAGAACAATTGGTCGATACCGATTGGCCAGAAATGAGCGGTAAAGATTAAGGGAAGCTCGACCTAAACAGAACTTCGCTCTCTAGGTCAGTGTAACGTCAAGGCGAGTCTGCTGGCAAAGAATTTATTGATCCAATTTCAAAAACATCGATGTATTCGTTCGATTATATGCAATCAATTCTCAACCGCGCTGCAAGATGATTCATGCCTCATTCTGTTGGTCCATTCCTGTTGGTTTTGGTCCGCACTTGACACGTACGTTTCCTCTTCTTCCGCGTGCCGTTCCAACTGCTTTGACCCGATCGTAGCGCGAGATACGTTGGTCGACAGCTCCGACGTTGTGGTATTCGGTGGATATCTTTCTGGCTAGATGCGGATTGTCCACCGGGCTGTAATTGTCGATTCGTTCGTTTGGAGTGGTAGTCGACATTGTCTCGCGAAGTACTTCCAGCCGCTACGTCTGCGCATCTGGTTGGATCGGCCCGATTCTTGATTTGTTCGCTAGCCGGGGCTCTCATTGTACCACCTTTCATCACATAGTCACCAACTGCGTTCCCCTCTGTATTCGATCGAACAAGGCAATCAATGAGTCATTTGTCTGTTGTTTGTAATATTGTTGTCACTTCGGAAATCTTCATTTAGACGTACTAGAAGTGGTAGATGGGTTGAAATAATTTCATTTAGTTCAAGACGAAAATCTGCGTTGAAACGGCTCCTTTCAATAAGTGACTTTATGGAGTTTGGGCGATAACTAATCACGTCACTAGTTCAAACTTCACGCATTCGGGCGCATTCAGCTACTTAGCATTGAAATTCTGGAACTCACAATTGCATATAGCTAATGAGATTATGCTAATACAAATCGAAATAGCAGAATAATCGGCTGATCATGGACTACTATGTGTAGATTCTTTGTATTCATAATAACAAGTATGTAGTGACATTGGCTTAATTTCATAATGGGAATGGCTTGCGAGTAACAAAACTTTTTATCAACGTTTTTACTTGAATAATGTGAAGAAGTCGCAAATGTTCTTTCTCATCATTTTGTAACTTCCCCTCTCGTATTTTTCCGTCATACAGATTGCAAAAGTTAATCAAGGATGCTCGACGTTTCCTGAACCTTCCCGACTCTGGTCCTTGGGTAATAACCCGAATACAAGCCATGGAAAAAACTTTGAACTCATTGCTTCGGTGTTTATCGGGAACACGAGGAATGGAAAAGGTTAGTCCGTTAGTCATTTACTATTATTCTGCTCTCTGTATCTTGTCTCTTCGGACTAACATGATCATAAACAGCGCTTACTGGCTCCAGTTAGTCAGTGAATCTTTTTACTATTCGAGTTATATGATTTTTTGGTGTACAAAGCATATGAAGAGTGAACTGCAAAGCTACCGAGTAATGTATAACTGCTTTGGCTTGACCTGATTGGCTGCCCCAGTTTTTAGTGTGCTTGCGTTCTGCGTGCGAAGTCCCGAGTTCGATCTTCAGCTGGGTTGTTGGATTCTCACTCCAACGAGAGCCTATCACCGGGTCTGTTTCCTATCTTTTCAACTCACGCTTTGTTTCACCCATATCAAATGAAATTCACCATGTATGTGAATCAAATCCTCCGCTACTCTCACATTCGAGTTATACGCTTGGTTGTTGATCCGAGCAGCTTTCTAATGCTCGAACATACTTGTTGCATCACACTGCGCCTTTTATGAAGAAATCGTTATTGGGATTAATGCAGCAAACCTTGATCACTTGTATTCGCATCTCGTCATCGCAATTCATATTCTTCACTCCTAAATGTTTCCAGGCAGCTTTTCATTGACCGCAACCCCCTTCCTGATAATAATTAATTGTATATTAAAGGAATAAACGAGGAAGTAAAGAGATTATTTGGACTGTGAATATTTGGATTAGCCCATTGGGTTTTCCCACAGGCACGAGACACTTGATAAACTCGGGTCTGGGTTTCATTCCTTGAAGGATCGTCGATTCCCCACCAATCAGATGCATTCAAATGCGTGAGAAATCTTTGTGATGATTAACAAAACGCATTGTACAGCGGTGTCGTCTAGTTTGGGACAACAGAGCGTACTTTTTTGTCCTTGTCACGACTCGAACCATACCCCTTCAGGTTGGGATTTAACACTGGAAACAGCTTTTCAGTCCTCTTTGTTGGTCCTCACAAAGATTTTCATCGCATTTAAATAAAATGTTTTTCATTATCACCTGGATGTAATTTGAATTTTAGTCGCTCACCAGTCACTCGTGATGTAATTTCCTTAACTTGGTCTGTGCACTGAAGTTGCAATATAACCGATTTCACTCTGCTCTGAGATTTTCTTACCTGCTTATGACGCTATCCTTAAGTTGCCATCCACTCGTGTCTTGACGCAGATTTCTGTTATTATCTATTTTACTCTAAATGTCCATGTGCTATTGGAAAAGGTTTGTTTTCGATATAGAGAGACATCGGAAAACACGTCCGGCCACACGAAGCACATATAAAGTAAGAAAAATGCATTATATAAACTGCATGTAACGCTCATTTTTTGCGATTAACACGCTACGAAAATAGCTTTAATATACTCATTGGAATTGACTATCCAACGGAGTACCAGCCACTGGTCAAAGACAAGCACTTCTAAGTAAGAAACTCCTTATTCATGGATTTATCTCGTCTCCTTTCAGGAACATTGACTGTACATTTATTAGATATCAAATGAATAGAGAATAAAAGATTGGTATAGTATTGTTATAATAACATTATGTATCAATTTCACTCAATTACCGTAAATTCCCCCCCCCTCTACCTTCCAGTTCCTTAATTCCGGTGAAATGTCAGAAGCAGTCGATACTGCTAAGAGCACACTGGTCGACCGACAGATCTGTGTTTCCCTGGGGCTTTTGCCTATTTTGGTGAACCTTATCGGCATCATTCGAAATCAACGGCCTTCGTCCACTCAACTCATTCCTGATAGGTAAGACGTATTTTCTGGATGCTTCCAAAGAACGCGTTAAACAGCAAGTATGTTCATAACTTCAGCTTTGATTCTTCACATTGCTGTTTGATCAACGGGGCTGCTGAGTGTGCTCTGTTTCATTATTTTACACTACCGATTTGTGTGGTTCATTGTTAATGAATGCCGATGAAAAGGCAAAGATAGTTAAGGAGAATGTGAAAAAGTATTCTTATACGGTCCATTGTATGTGCTCAGTTAACCCGAACGAGAATCCTCGCCTTGTTCACAGCCGTGAGTCTTTGAAATACCGGTGAATTTCGACTATGTACAGCAGGAGTACTGTCATCACACGTATAGACAACAGCTGATAACGAGAGCATCGCAAACACTACGAGCCGGTTGAAGGTTCCAGATCGCGAAGACCGATCCAATCAAATCATGGAAAGATTAAGAGGCAATTTAACTGGTGGGACGAACTAGACGATGTGAAGCGATGGATCGGTCTCACTGTACTTGGATCAGCCAGTTCTGAAATAGTTGGCTATATTCGCTACTGATTAGTAGATGCGAGTCTTCAAATGTTTGTTGCTCCGCCAGTCTCGGTCGGTTCACCGCCACCGATTTCTCTCGTCCTTCTGTTTCACAATCACACCACGTAGTGACCACATTTCAGTTGAGCACATGTTTCGGTACTTACAAGTGTAGAGCAACATGAACCCTTTTGGATCGTGGTGTCCCGGTGGTTTAGTCTGTCCCCAGCTTCCTCTAAACCCCATCACGGCCACTCGCCTTTGGTAGTTAATAACTTAGTTGTCATTCGGTTCAATACCACGCCTAACCCAGTGCCGACGTATGTGGTTCGCCACTCCAAGTCCCGTCGCTAGAGTTGGTTGTTTCCATCACTGGGAAACAGGTCTTCGCAACTACGGGGTATACCCCGTCTGTTGTCTATACAAAGGTGTGTAGCAAAACAGTCGAGACCCGACGCTGGTTATGTACAGGAGATACATTTCTTCTCAATGGGAATATGATTGCAATATGTATTTTCCGTACATTTTAATCTTCCCAGTTTTGACAAATCCTATCCTCGGATTATAATGCGACGAAATGATCAATATTCCCATCCATATGGCATCCACTAGGTGGCATGTAAGCTGATTGCCACTACAGGTTTTCTTTAGAATTCATTGGAGACCATCGAATGGACTTATAAGTCAAGGTTAATTGTTCAGATTGGCAGATTGAAGTCTGATGTTGAAATTGTGCAAAGTTCAGTAGCCTCGGTTGAATTCGAACACACATGGACGCCGCCTCCGCTTTTGTACAGCGCACTCCAGGTGAATTCTAAGGAAACCTGCCGTGATCATTGTACGTTGTAAACGGTCGATTGCCGGTAAGAGTGGTTACGCTAGTTAATCTAGTTGGCCTTGAGCACGTTCCTGTTTGTGTGTATCTTTAAGGGACCCCATGAATGGAACCGAGGGCAATCTGTGAGCTGGATATAAAGTTCACTATGACTACTGGCGCCAGTTGTTCCTTACCCATTTTCCGCTGGGTAATCGTTGTATAATCAGTGTTGCTACTGAATAACTAACTTGAACGTTTGGGGTTAGTGGAATAAATTGTGCGTTCTGCATCACCACCCCTGGCGACCGCACACTCAGTTCTCTTGATTGTACTTACTGATACTGGTTTCGTGTAGATGGTATGTGGCCACGTGTTCCTATCGTGGAATAATATGTAAGAAAGCTTTTATATTTGACTTGCGATTAAACGAATTCAGATTTTTCAGTCGCAGTTTTTCACTCATTTATACCTTGTCAAATTTCCCGTGAGGATCTCGTGCTGGTTCACTGTGGAATACTTCCGCCACTTTAAGCTCAGATAGACAGGTGAACCCCGTACGAAGCCATCGTTCCTGTCTTACACTATCTACACGAGGTGGTTTCCGGAAGGGACAATTGAACTGCAGCACAGATTACAAGCTTATTTGTAATAAACATGCAGCCTCACGGGCTGTACTGGGATGTGCGAAGCCCTGAGGTGCAATCGCGAATAAAAAGACCCCACGAGTTGCTGACATTTCACTTTCTACTCCAGATTGAGTCACTGATCAGTAGAACATTCCTCGGCAGTGCTGGAGATACCGCTTTGTATGACATTCCTACGAGGCGATGGACGCCATTTACGATACTGTCTCATCCTTCAGTTGGATGTATTCAAGTAAAATAAAATAATAAGTTGAAACGGTTTATGTTCTGTATTATCCGTCGATGACAATTATTTAGAGTATCTGTTGGTCCTCTTCGCTGACGATGTTAAATCAATCACATCATCTTGTTTATTTTCTCTAACTCACCAGGACCTACCAACTGGCCTGTGATGTACTGCAGGCAGTGTGTAACTCTTGTCCCGAGGCCTGCCATCATATGGTCCTGACCAATGACGTGTCAATTTTGGTTGATTGCTTGGTGACACGTTTCTCTGTAAGTATGCTTCGCTAATAGTTACAGACACAATACATTTACTCCCGCTGTAATTTTTCACTTTTTGACGTTTTCGTTCTGTTCATGGAGCGTATTGAACGAAGCATCCTAACAATGTGGTCCAATTCACGTAAACCAAAATTCGTAATTTGGAAAAGAATTCGTATTCGGAGCAAAGATAGATTACTGATAATGGTGCTCTCACACATAGCAAGGGGTGTCCAAATAACTATTCACTGTGAGCAGGACATATTTTTTTCTTTCACAACTGAAGTTTGCCATCAACTATAAATTACAATTCCAATTTAGAACCCTTTCAGAAGAGCCAAAGAGAACTTCAGTTTGATGATAAATAGCATATGATTAACCAGACACAATTCCTCTAGAGGCACACAATCGGTTTCGTGGATCTTGCCTCTCGTCAGGCATGCGAATCCGGTAATCATTTGTCAGTTCATTCATATACTTGTACCCAGAAAATGCATTTTCGTCACAATAACCTTGTTTGCAACACACCGGGTGACTTTTAGATAGACAGCTCTTTCAGAGCCAGTCCATTGAAGAGTCAACACTATAATTCGGTGTTTTGTAAATGGGTTAAATTCTACTGACGGCAACAAACGTGACTCGGGCGTTTTAGCAAGCAAGATGATTGTGACGAAAATACATTTCCTGGGTACAAGTATATGGATGAACTGGCAAAGTATTACTGAATACGCATGTCTGACGAGGAGGAAGAATCGCGAAAACGATCGTGTGCTTCCAGGGTAATTTTTACTGGTCAGTTATATACTACTTATTATGAAATATTCTATAAAAACGCCCAAGTCACGGTTGTTGCGGTTAGTAGCATTTAACCGACATACAAAAACATCGAATCATAGTATTGATTCTTCAATGGACTGGCTCTTAAAGAGTTGTCTATCCAAAAATCACCAGGTGTTGCGAATAAGGTTATTGTGGCCCAAAAACATTTGCAGTTTTTTCGATCCCCATTTTCGACCCTTAATTTCTTATAAGATCATGAGAGTAGTACATTTCTTTAGCTTTCTTTACACAATTTCGAACGCAGTTGGTTTTGTAGATATAGTGTCCCATCCCGGGTATGGTCGAAGTGATCATTTGGTAATTAAAAGGAATGGATTCGCTTCGTGCTCCTATGGTGATGACAGGAAAACGGAATGTAATCTGCAAGCTATATACCTAGATAAATTGGAATTTGGGGGCAATGACCCGTATATCGAGCAAACTTGATCCATTGGTGTATACGGAACTTGTCACGAGGCGATTGTTCAGAGGTGGGTGAGAAACGCATGTAGCACTTACAGATGCGTATGCATATGACAAATGGGTTCGGGGACTTGTTGAGCTAATGAAAGTCAGCACAACCACCCGCCTCCTGTTTCATCAGGGGCGTTGGAAGTCCTTTTTTCGGAATGGTTATCTTCCTAACGTTTTCATGGGATTCGGACAGTATGTGGGCCCGACAACTCTGATGAGGTCCATATCCCAAATGAGCAACTGAATTTGGTTGTAGAGCAACTTGGAATTATACTGAAACAACTTGAGATGACTCCCGGTCCACCTAATTACATATGTGAACAACTTCATCTGTAAAATGTTGCAAGTTGATGAAACACCACTTGTAAGTTTACTAGTCTAGTTACCTTTTTGAATGTACATCTTGTCTGCTACTTCATACGAAAACACCATGTATTCGTAGCTGAATTACTCAATGGTAGTATGCACTACGGTGCTTTTTCAAGCAAGGTTTCACCAACTTTACTCTTATAAAGGGTAACAAAATTTAATACCCCATTTCATATTGTTTGCTTCTCAGACTCCAATCTCAAGCGGGCGATCTCTCGGTACTTCATTCTCCGAGGTAACGGATAACACCGACTCGTCTGTCGGACCTGTATCTAGTCAGCCTTGTACATTGGCTATAATGAATTGTCTCACGAGGTTACTGTCTGAATTGGCTAGTGAATCTGAACCTTTGTCCAGATCTGCTTCTGCAGATTGCAACTCGAGTGGTGCCATGACAATCAATCAACCCAAGCTTCAGGTGAGCATGTTTACGTATACCCATCTTTTCAGCTATGGCCGGGTCATCCGTATGCTATCACTTCCATTCTTGGTGGTTGTAATGAGGTGTTCTCTGTGCTAATTTCCGGTAGACACAATCCCTTAAGCCCAAAAGATGAACTAAACATGTTATTGTTCATTCTCTGCTAAATCACGTGCGTCGTGGTTTGTGTCTATCGTAGTTAATCAAACGGATTCGTGACAAACTATGAATTTACAGTTTAAAAGACTCCTTTGATTTCCTGGAAAAGGTTTAGCGTCTTAATTTCTGCGGTACACACGTGGTTTCCTATGATGTTTGTTCTCTTCCTACTAATGTCCCAATCGAAGAGACTATTGATATAGTGGGCCAACATACCCATGAAGAGAATTTTCCACCAGATCCACTTAAATCTTTGCTTCTATTGTGCACAAAAAACGTAGAGTTCACATTTCAATGGAAGGTTATACAAACAAACAGGTGGTATGGCAATGGGTAGCCCACTTGGACCTGTGCTAGCTGATATATTTATGGGGCATTTAGAGACCAACAAGCTTCATGAGTCCGTATATAAAACTCAGCGGTACACCCGATATATTGTGTGTTTGTGTAAATTTTTAATAGGGCACATGTTTCTGCTTCGCGTCCACGGAGTGATGTCCCCACAGAGTGTAACATTCTTTCCCTGTAAAGGAATTTTAAATCACCCCAAATTATGAATTTGGTGGTCCGCTTCAATAATCTTCTCAATGCTCGCTGTGAAGTGTCAATATTATTTGAGGAACGGTTTTAGTGCAAAAGTAGTGAGTGAAAAGAGAGCACTGATTTTTCGGCCACCCCGTTGGAACTCGCGGTTGTTAAGACCTGGGTAAAAGCCAATGGACGGTAGATGAATGTGCAACCGCCGACTTTAGGGATGAATGAGGTGTGAATACACTAATTGTGAAACTGAAGTGTAAGGTACCTGTAAAAAAACTGTTCCGTTTCAAACAAAAATAAAGAGAAAGGCTAAGGGGCTGGAGACATTAGTCTATAGTATCAATTTTGTGGTTCCAACCGCGATTCTCTGTGAGTGCAATCATCGAGTAAGTAGAGTGTATATGAATCGTAATCATGTTTAACGCGTATTTTATAGTGAGGTGGGAGAAGTAACAGTCACCAACCGTGTCCTGGAGCTTGAAGTGACAGACCACATGACGATCCGGGAGTTAATTAATTGTTCTTTTGTCCGTTCTTCTTTTTCATTTCACCCCAGGATCTATTAGGCTACATTGTCAGCAGTGGTCTGGTCGATTTGTTAGCCACCAAGTTGTCCAGTCCGCGTCAGGCGAGCTCGTTGATGCGTATTGGTAGTCCAAACACAAGCACAAAGAATGCGGGCACCGGCACATCGAGTATGACGACTGCTGCAGAACAAGCACAACGTTTTGTTCTGACTAGCATCGATTTCCTTACCTCTTTGGTTCGTCTTTTGGGTCGAATTTCGGATCCACCAGTTACCGGAAAAGCGCGTGCCTCGTCCACTGCAAACTGCAACACTGCACCTCGTGGAAAATCTTCTATCGAACTAACCGATGTTTCCATGGATGAACCTCATCTGAACGGAGATGGTCTGAATTCGAGAGACCTAAATGCGGACAACTGTGTATCGTCTACAACTAACCGCTGGTAATTATCCTTGCACAAAACAAACTGCTCCAATAATTCTCATCAATTCTATAGTTAACTCTTTTCCTTTTAGAGGTTCCTTTCATGAAAACCATACACACCCAGTTTTATCGTTTTGTGTTGATATTTTGTAGGAAATACTCATATGGACCTATTAGTACTGGGTTATTCTTACAAATTCTTATGAAAACTTTCTTTGCGCAGTTTAAACGCTGTTCTGTAAATTGTAAAACATGCAGTATAATTAACAGCACTGAGCTCACTTTTCATGTGGTTTGGGTCTTTATCTGTTCATGAAGGTTATTGTGCAGATATATATATATATATATATA